GCTAAAGAATGAATGGGTCGGGACGCCTGGGTGGCTCAGTCGGTTAAGTGGCTGCTTTCGGCCCAGATCATGATCCCAGGGTCCTGGGATCGAGTCCCATATCGGGCTCCTTGCTCAGTAGGGAACCTGCTTCTCCCTCTTTCTCCTTCTGCTTGTGCTCTGTCAAATAAATAAAATCTTAAAAAAAAAAAAAAAAAAAAAAAAAGAATGAATGGGTCAACCAGGAAATTAAAGAACTTAAACAGTTCATGCAAACAAATGACAATGAAAACACATAGGTTCAGAACCTATGGGATACTGCAAAGGCGGTCCTTAGAGGGAAGTACATAGCCATCCAAGCCTCTCTCAAAAAATTAGAAAAATCCCAAGTGCACAAGCTAAACTTACACCTAAAGGATCTGGAGAAAGAACAGTAAATAAAGCCTAAACCAAGCAGGAGAAGAGAAATAATAAATATTAGAGCAGAAATCAATGAAATAGAAACTAGAAGAACAGTAGAACAGATCAAGAAAACTAGAAGCTGATTCTTTGAAAGAATTAATAAGATCGATAAACCTCTGGCCAGACTTATCCAAAGAAAAGAGGAAGGATCCATATTAATAAAATCATGAATGAAAGGGGAGAAATCACGACCAATACCAAGGAAATAGAGGCAATTATTAGAACTTATTACCAGCAGCTATATGCCAACAAACTAGGCAATCTGGAAGAAATGGATGCATTTATGGACACTTATAAACTACCAAGACTGAAACAGGAAGAAATCGACAATCTGAACAGACCAATAGCCAACAAGGAAATTGAAACAGCAATCAAAACCCTCCAAAACAACAAGAGTGCAGGGCCAGATGGCTTCCTGGGGGAATTCTACCAAACATTTAAAGAAGAAATCATACCTGGGTGCCTGGGTGGCTCAGATGGTTGGGCGTCTGCCTTCGGCTCGGGTCATGATCCCAGGGTCCTGGGATCGGGTCCCGCATCGGGCTCCCTGCTCCTTGGGAGCCTGCTTCTCCCTCTGCCTCTCTCTCTCTCTCTCTGTTTCTCATGAATGAATAAATAAAATCTTAAAAAAAAAAAAAGAAGAAGAAATCATACCTATTCTACTGAAGCTGTTCCAAAAAATAGAAATGGAAGGAAAACTTCCAAACATGTTCTATGAGGCCAGCATTACCCTGATCCCAAAACCAGACAAAGACCCCATTAAAAAGGAGAATTACAGACCAATGTCCCTGATGAACATGGATGCCAAAATACTCAACAAGATCTAGCTAATAGGATCTAACAGTACATTAAAAGGATTATTCACCACGACCAGGTAGGGTTTATTCCTGGGATGCAAGGGTGGTTCAACATCCTCAAATCAATCAACATGATATATGGCATTAACAAAAGAAGAGACAAGAACTATATGATCTTCTCATTTGATGCAGAAAAAGCATTTGACAAAGTACAGCATCCTTTCCTGATTAAAACTCTTCAAAATATAGGGATTGAGGGAACATACCTCAATATCATGAAAACCATCTATGAAAAGCCCACAGCGAATATAATTATCAGTGGGGAAAACCTGAGAGCTTTTCCCTTAAGGTCAGGAACAAGACAGAGATGCCCACTCTCACCACTGTTGCTCAACATAGTACTAAAAGTACTAGTCTCAGCAATCAGACAACAAAAAGAAATAAAAGGTATTCAAATTGGCAAATAAGAAGTCAAACTCTCTCTTCACAGATGACATGCTACTTTATGTGGAAAACTCAAAAGACTACCCCAAAATTACTAGAACTCATACTACAATTTAGCAACGTGGCAGGATACGGAATCAATGCACAGGAATCACTTGCTTTTCTATACACCAACAATGTGACTGAAGAAAGAGAAATTAAGGAATCCATTCCATTTACAATAGCACCAAAAACCATATGATACCTAGGAATAAACCTAACCAAAGCAGTAAAGGATATGTACTCTAAAAACTACAGAACACTTTGAAAGAAATTGAGGAAGACACAAAGAGATGGAAAAACATTCCATGTTCATGGATTGGAAGAATAAACATTGTGAAAATGTCTATGCTGCCCAGAGAAATCTACACTTTCAATGCAATCCTTATCAAAATGCCATTGACATTTTTCACAGAGCTGGAACAAACAATCTTAAAATTTGTATGGAACCGGAAAAGACCCCAAATAGCCAGAGGAATGTTGAAAAAGAAAACCAAAACTGGTGGCATCACAATGCCTGACTTCAAGCTCTATTACAAAGCTGTAATCATCAAGACAGCATCGTATTGGCACAAAACAGACACATAGACCAATGGAACAGAATAGAGACCCCAGAAATGGACTCTCAATTCTATGGTCAACTAATCTTCAGAAAAGCAGGAAAGAATATCCAATGGAAAAAAGACATACTCTTCAATAAATGGTGCTGGGATAATTGGACAGCTACATACAGAAGAATGAAACTGGACCATTCTCTTAAACCATACACAAAGATAAACTCAAAATGGATGAAAGGCCTCAATGTGAGACAGGAATCCATCAAAATCTTAGAGAGGAACTCAGGCAGCAACCTCTTTGACCTCGGCCACAGCGACTTTTCAAGACAAGTCTCTAAAGGCAAGGGAAACAAAGGCAAAAATGAACTTTTGGGACTTCATCAAGATAAAAAGCTTCTGCACAGCCAAGGAAACAGTCAACAAAACAAAGAGGCAGGGCGCCTGGGTGGCTCAGTTGGTTAAGTGACTGCCTTTGGCTCAGGTCATGATCCTGGAGTCCCAGGATCGAGGCCCACATCGGGCTCCCTGCTCAGCGGGAAGTCTGCTTCTCCCTCTGACCTGACCCCCTCTCATGAGCTCTCTCTCTCTCAAATAAATAAATAAAATCTTAAAAAAACCCAAAAAACAAAGAGGCCACTCACAGAATGGGAAAAGATATTTGCAAATGACATATCAGATAAAGGGCTAGTATCCAAGATCTATGAAGCACTTATCAAACTCAAACATCCGAAAAACAAATAATCCAGTCAAGAAATGGACAGAAGACATGAAGAGACACTTCTCCGAAGAGACATACAAATGGCTAACAGGCACATGAAAAAATGTTCATCACTAGCCATCAGGGAAATACAAATCAAAACCACAATGAGATACCAACTTACACCAGTCAGAATGGCTAAAATTAAAAAGTCAGGAAACAAATGTTGGAGAGAATGTGGAGAAAGGGGACCCCTCCTACACTTATGGTGGGAATGCAAGCTGGTGCAGCCACTCTGGAAAACAGTATGGAGATTTCTCAAGACATTAAAAATAGAGCTACCCTATGACCCAGCAATTGCACTACTAGGTATTTACCCCAAAGATACAGATGTAGTGAAATGAAGGGGCACCTGCACCCTAATGTTCATAGCAGCAATGTCCACAATAGCCAAACTGTGGAAGGAACTGAGATGCCCTTCAACAGATGAATGGATAAAGAAGATGTGATTCATATATACAATGGAATATTACTCAGCCACCAGAAAGGATGAATTCTCACCTTTTGCATTGACATGGATGGTACTGGAGGGTATTATGCTATGTGAAATAAGTCAAGCAGAGAAAGACAATTATCATATGGTTTCACTCATATGTGGTACATAAGGAATAGTGTGGAGGACCACAGGGAAAGGGAGGGAAAACTGAATGGGAAGAAATCAGAGAGGGAGAAAAAACCATGAAAGACTGTGGACTCTGAGAAACAAACTGAGGGTTACAGAACAGAGGTGGGTGGGGGATAAGGTAACCAGGTGATGGGCATTAAGGAGGGCACATGATGGGATGAGCACTGGGTGTTATAAGCAACTAATGAATTGTTGAACACTATATCTAAAACTAATGATGTACTATATGTTGGCTAATTGAACATTATAAAAATAATAATTGATTGAATTTAAATAAAATATTAAGAAAAAAGAATTAGCCAAAGCAGACATCTTTGTTTTGTTCCCAATCTCAGGCATCATGCAGTCTTTTTATCATTAAGCATGATGTTGATTTTAAGTTTTTAATAGATGTTTTCTATGGTGTTGATGACATCCCCTTCCTTTAATAGTTAAGTGTTTTTATTATTTATTATTGTTAGATTTTGTCAAAATTTTTCCTCCCTATTGAGGTAATCATGTGGTTTTGTTCTTTTCTCTATTAATAAAATGTATTATATTAATTGATATTTTGAGGTTAAAACAACCTCACATTCCAAGGATAACTGGTCATTGTATATAATGCTTTTTTATTTTTTTATTTATTTAATTTTCACTTCTCTGACATTTTTTCATTTTTGTTTTTTAAAGATTTTATTTATTTATTTGACAGAAAGACACAGCGAGAGAGGGAACACAAGTAGGGGGAGTGGGAGAGGGAGAAGCAGGCTTCCTGCCAAGCAGGGAGCCCGATGGGGGCTCGATCCCAGGACCCTGGGACCATGACCTGAGCCGAAGGCAGATGCTTAATGACTGAGCCACCCAGGCGCCTCTCTGACATTTATTTTTTAAAGGAATGGATTTTTTTTTTAAAGATCTATTTATTTATTTGAGAGAGAGAGAGAGTGAGAGACAGCATGAGAGGGGAGAGGGTCAGAGGGAGAAGCAGACTCCCCACTGAGCTGGGAGCCTGATGTGGGACTGAATCCTGGGACTCTGGGATTATGACCTGAGCTAAAGGCAGTAGCTTAACCAACTGAGCCACCCAGGTGCCCCTGAAAAGGAATGGATTTTGAAGAGAAAAAACATGGGGCAGAAGTATAGAATAGAAAATAAATACAAATGTAAGCTGTTTTGCTAATTGTTTTATAACCACAAAAAAATTTGTACAGAGTATGCCCTGTACAAAACAGCACAATAAAGGCTCAAAGATCAAGGTGGTCCCTTGGGCAAGGCTGAACATTTTAGCATCTGCTATTTAAAATTTAGTCTGCAGTCCTTGTTTTTGGATGATCACTGGGTGTGTGACATAGTCCATGCTTTTAACCAGATTTGAATCGAAGAATGGTCACTTGGCCCAGGTAGAAGTAGATGAACTGTTTGGTTTCATGCGTCACATTAACACCAAAGTTCCTCCCCACAATGCAGTACCAGGCGGGGTTGTACTCCCTGTTGAACTCTTTCTTAATGTGGGTGGCAAGGTTTTTCTCTATGTTATATTTCTCCAGTGTCTGAGTAGCACACTCCACAGAGTCCTGTTGCATCTCCTCTGACAAACTGGCATTTTTGATCATGGCCTTTTGGTTGTACAGGGTTATGGAGGAGTAGGGGATGGCCAACTGCAATAGTCTCCTGGGGGAGGGGCTGGCTGAGACAGCAGGAGCTACTAACCAAAGCCCTGGTGCATGTCTGTAATGATTTTTTTTTTAAAGATTTTATTTATTTATTTGACAGAGACAGACACAGCGAGAGAGGGAACACAAGCAGGGGGAGTAGGAGAGGGAGAAGCAGGCTTCCCACTGAGCAGGGAGCCTGATGTGGGGCTCGATCCCAGGACCCTGGGATCATGACCTGAGCCGAAGGCAGACGCTTAATGACTGAGCCACCTAGGTGCCCCTGTAATGATTTTTTTAAAAGCTTTATGTATTCAGCTTCATAGTATTTTGTTGAGAATTTATGTCTGTATTTTACTATTTGTTTTCTACATGTTTCACATTTTTGTTCCTATATTTCTTTCACTGACTTCTATTTTGTTGCAAGATATTTTTTTTTTTTGCTGTGCCACATTAATTCCAATTTAATTTTCTGTTTGTTTGTTTTTACTTTTTTTTTTTTAAGTTACTTTCTTAATGGTTACTATAGGGTTCATGTCTTAGTTGACTCAGACTGTCATAACAAAATACCATGAAATGCGTGACTTAAACAACAGAAATTTATTTGCTCATGGTTCTGGAGGATGAAAGTCTGATATCAGGATGCCTGCATATTTGGGTTCTGGTGAAATCTCTCTTCCTGGCTTGCAGAGAGCCACTTCTTTTGTGCTCACATAGTCTTTCCTTAGTGAGTGCATGTGGAGAGAGATCTCCCCTTTCTTCTTTTAGGGCTATCAATCCTACTGGATTAGCATCTTACTCTCACCTCACTTAACCTCAGTTATTTTCTGAAAGCCATATCTCCAGGAACGCCTTGGTGCCTCAGTCAGTTAAGCCTCTGACTCTTTGTTATTAATTTTTTTAAATTAACATATAATGTATTTTTTTTCAGGGGTACAGGTCTGTGATTCATCAGTCTTACACAATTCGCAGCACTCACCATAGTACCTACCTTCTCCAAAGTCCATCACCCAGCCACCCCAATCCCTTCCACCCCCTCCCCTCCAGCAACCCTCGGTTTGTTTCCTGAGATTAAGAGCCTCATCGTTTGTCTCCCTCTCCAGTTTCGTCTTGTTTCACTTTTCCTTCCCTTCCCCTATGATCCTGTCTTGGTTCTCAAATTCCTCATATCAATGAGATCATATGATCCATGCCTTTCTCTGATTGACTTATTTTGCTTAGCTTTATACCCTCTAGTTCCATCCACATCATTGCAAATGGCAAGATTTCATTTTTGATGGCTGCATAATATTCCATTGTATATATACACCGCATCTTCTTTATCCATTCATTTGTTGATGGACATCTAGGCTCTTTCCATAGTTCGGCTATTGTAAACATTGCTGCTATAAACATTGGGGTGCAGATGCCCCTTTGGATCACTACATTTGTATCTTTGTGGTAGATACCCAGTAGTGCAATTGCTGGGTCATACAGTAGCTCTATTTTCAACTTTTTGAGGATCCTCCATACTGTTTTCCAGAGTGGCTGCACCAGCTTGCCTTCCCACCAACATTGTAGGAGGGTTCCCCTTTCTCTGCATCCTTGCCAACATCTGTCATTTCCTAACTTGTTAATGTTAGCCATTCTGACTGGTGTGAGGTAGTATCTCATTGTGGTTTTGATTTGTATTTCCCTGGTGCCGAGGGATGTTGAACACTTTTTCATGTGTCTGTTGGCCATTTGGATGTCTTCTTTGCAGAAATGTCTGTTCATGTCTTCTGCCCATTTCTTGATTGGATTCTTTGTTTTTTGGGTGTTGAGTTTGATAAGTTTTTTTTTTTTTATAGATCTTGGATACTAGCCCTGTATCTGATATGTCATTTGCAAATACCTTCTCCCATTCTCTTGGTTGTCTTTTGGTTTTGTTGACTGTTTCCTTTGATGTGCAAAAGCTTTTTATCTTGATGAAGTCCCAATAGTTCATTTTTGCCCTTGCTGCCCCTGCCTTTGGTGATGTTTCTAAGAAGAAGTTGCTGCAGCTGAGGTTGAAGAGGTTGCTCTCTGTGTTCTCCTCTAGGATTTTGATGGATTCCTGTCTCACACTGAGGTCTTTCACCCATTTTGAGTCTATTTTTGTGTGTGGTGTAAGGAAATGGTCCAGTTTCATTCTTCTTCATGTGGCTGTCCAATTTTCCCCAAACCATTTGTTGAAGAGACTGTCTTTTTCCCATTGGACATTGTTTTCCTGCTTTGTCGAAGATTAGTTGACCATAAAGTTGAAGGTGCATTTCTGGGCTCTCTATTCTGTTCCATTGATCTATGTGTCTGTTTTTGTGCCAGTCTCTGAGGCTCTGTTCATCTCTCTCCTCTCTTTATCCTTCAGATTGGATAATCTTTATTGATTTATCTTTAAGCCCAATGATTATTTTCACTGTCAGCTCAAATCTGCTATTGAGCCCTTCTTGTAAATTTCTCATTTCAGTTATTGTAATATTCAACTATAACATTTCCATTTGATGTTTTTTAAAATATATTTTGTCTCTGTATTGATATTCTTTATTGAGTCATTGCCAACACATGCTCCTTTAATTGTAAGGAATGGTTTTCTTTATGTCTCTAAACACATTAATAATAGATGCCTTGAAGTATTTTTCTACTAAGTCCAACATCTGGACACTATTATAGAGATAGCTTCTCTTGAATTTTTTTCTTTGTGTATGGGTTATATTTTCCTACTTCTTTGCATGTCTTATAAATTTTGTTGAAAACTGATCATTTTAGAGAAATTAACTCAGTGCCTATGGATTTGGATCTCCTCTATGGATTTGTTGTTGGTGCTTGTTGTTACTATCTTTTGTTTGGTCTATTTGTCTAGTATCTTGCCTAGACTAATTCTGTAGAGTCTGTATCCCCTGTATCCCATGTACTGTGTGGCCATTGATGTCTTTGTTCTATTTTTAAAAATTATTTCATTGTTTTTATTTTATTTTTAATACTGTTTCATAAGAGTTACCTCTGAGTCATCATAAATTAGTGGTAAATCAGTGATTGATTAAAATTTATGCTTAGACTCCTTAAGTGAATAAGATTTTCACTCTTTGCCAATCCATCTGTGTGTAGATGGGCTACACATTCTAATTTCAGTCAGTTACAAGTCAGTTCTTATAAAGTCAATCTTTTCTGGGTGTACAAGGCTTCCTGTTCAGATAGGGATGAACACCTTCCCTGATTGTTTTTTAGCAACATCACTATTGGCTTTGACAATACCTCTGAGATTGAGTTTTTATTGTCTTTTCTCTAAATCAAGACAGATGCCTTACACCATGAGACTGTTAAGTCCTCATGGCCTACCTTGCACTCATAGAGCTATCATACGTGGAGCTGGGGCTTGGGGATTGGAGTAGCCCCAGATTAAACTGCCATGTACTCCTATTGTCTTATTAAGGTTTAGTTGTTTTTCTTGAACAAACTTTTTTCAATTTTTTTGTATGGCTTTGGTCAATCCAGAGTCCTGAAATGTTAGTTTTTGATGAATTTGTCTAGTTTTATCATTGTTTTTTTGCTGAGTTCCTTACTTTGCCATTCCAAAAAACAAGTAGCATTTGTCTTCCTGCTCCTTTTGAAGGATAAAAGTGATGCATTATTATCAAACGGCTATTTCAATTGAGTGGACATGATTTAGTTGAATCATTTGTCATAATAATTAAGAGTTAGTATAACAACTGATTTCTATGTTCTCCACTTCTGCATACGAATCTGTAAAATCTTGTTGCTGCTTCACACATTTCCCACCACTAAATTGTTATACGTGAATGGTATTTTTATCAACAAGAATAACTTGTAGGCCTTTATAAAAATGTGCCCCATTTTCCAGGATTTTTTAGGCTTTGTTTGTTTGTTTGCTTGTTTTTGATTTTTGCTATGCTATTATAGACTTGGGAAGGAATATGCAATTATGTAGTTGGCTCTGAAATGTGCAAGGTTTTTAAAAAAGTTTTGCCAAATCCATAAATAGCTGAAAATACCAAATAATAAAACTAATATAAGGCTAAAATTGATCCTATTACTAATGATCCTAGCCTAACAAACAACTTTTGCTAGTAAGCCTGTCCAAGAAAAGCTTATAAGAACTAATTAAGAGGTTTTAGCCTAGAAAAATGTTCCACACTTAGATGAGAACGGTATGAAGGAAATTTGTAAATAAATCTGGAAGCAGGGATTAAAAGGGTAGAATTATTTCAAATATTGTTCCAGTGTATTTCCATATAGAAATAGCATGGTTCTACACAGTTGTATTATTTTTAAGACTCCACTTTATTATTTATTTCCTGGTGGCCAGTGAATAAACTGTTCTAGAAATAATGAACATGTTTTGTGGGGGAAAATGACTTGCAGAAGAAAATTTTTAAAATAATAATTCTAAGAAGAAAAACACAAGCAACCTGTTTGTATTGCTTACTATCTCTGGTGAAGCTGAATCAAGGAAAATAATGAAGATTTTTATTTCAGACTAGTTATGGCACAATTTTTAGACCCTTTAATTTTACTTCTTATCCCATATTATCTGTATGGCCATAATTTTCACCAGCAGGTGATATTTTTCTAACTGTGAGTGAACGAATCATTGAATTTTAGAATTAGAGGGATCACTGCATCCATTTAGTTAGAAAAGCTAATGTGTAAATCTCTATGCCCTACACAAATAATAACTGTACAAGAATGTCTTTTAGGAGAACAGTTAAAAGTAAGATTTCTGTTTTAATTCCAAATAAGTGCCTTTTAAGTATAGGGCACCTGGAATAAACTGTCAAGAACTCATTACTGTAGGTAATTCAGATTTCTAAGATTCATAGTGCAAAGTTACCAAACTAAAACGTAGATGTTCTTCTCTCTTACAACAGTGTCTGTCACATAGTAAATGCTTTTAGATGTGTTGTTTTTGTTAAATAACCCCTTTAATTTGATGTCATTTGCACTAAAGATGAAAGGCATGCCCTATAGATACTAATTTTAGTAAAACTATGTAAACACTATTTTGACATTGAGCTCAAGATATACAAAGCATTTTTCAAAACAGAAAAAGAAGCAATTAGAATTTCCAGTAAATTTGACCAAGCAACATTATCAAAAGTCTACGTTAAATATGCTAATTGAAATTTATTAAATGCCCAGCATTGTGCTTTGTGATTTAGATTCAGCTCTGTTTGCAGATAGCTAAATAATATTTAAATGGACAACTTAATCAACCTTCAATTTGTTCATTACATAAAACTTAAACCATCAACTCAACTTAGCCTTTTTTGCAATAAAAATATGTTTCCCTAGTACTTGGAAGAGTACCTAACACATAGTAGGCACTCAAGAGCTGTTGAATGAATGGATGGATTCGATTTGAAATTGTGTAGAAAAAAAATCAGTTTCATTTATGACAGCATGCTATTGTAAACTCAAAGCTGGCTTCAGATGTACGAGTTAAACCAGTGCTAATTCATCTCCATAGAAGTTACATATATAAAACATCTGGTTCATTTTTATCAGTTCAATCTAGTTTTTTGGCACAGATGATATCAGGGAGGTGAGAAATAAAACCCTGTGATTTGACAGAATATTTCACTTTCCTAAAAGTTCTATTGTCATCTTATAGATGCAGCTGAGGGAATATACCACAACTGTTTTTATTCTGCATTATCTATCTCCCTCAAATCTGAATGTCCCCTAAACATTCTTTGACACTGGTCCAAAAAGAGAGTTTAAGACATGGTCACGTCGAGTTTAAGCCAATATACTGTTAAGAATGTCATTAGATATTTGACACAATTCCATGTGTCTATAGTGATGTGAATGTGACACCTCTTAACTTACTTGCAATCATCTATTACTCTGGAACACGCAGCTTCATAAAGTCATGAATTAATCTTCAGGGAGAAGAATGCCTAATAAAGAACACAATAATGTGCAGCAGCTCTGGCAATAAATTTGATGAAAGGTTTCCTGAAAGCCACAGCAAAGGGTAAATGAGTCCACTTATTAGCTCTGTGTTGGTGTTATTTATGTTCTGTAACCCACAAGGAGATGAGGGATTTTATTTTGCTGCCTGGGCCTCTTTCCCAGGATTTCAGCATGTTGGCACTTTGGGACCAGTGTTTGTATATTGAATAGGAAAATTTTTTCATCTTGAGAAATGTGCTTCTTTCTTCATGAAGGAATCTTACAGAGTGTTTGTGTGTGTGTGTGTGTGTGTGTATGTGTTGTTGTTGTTGTTGTTGTTGTTATTGTTTTGGCTTGGTTAGTTTTTTTTTTTTATTTTAATCTTAGGATCTTGGAGTTTTGGAATTGTGGTGTACTTTGGTGGCTTGTGGGTTTTAGACAAAGTTATAAGAGAAAATGAGCTTATCACACATGTGACTCTGCAATAATTCCCTGTGAAGCGTATTTGAGGAGCAGAGAATCAAAGTGAATCAAGCACAAGTTTCATTAGATATCTCTCCAAGAATATGCTCTTCTGGTTTTATATCAGTTCAATGTCTGATAACTGTAGAAAATGTGCCATCTCATTTTTACTGGTGTCTGTTGGAAGAGGTATGTGTGTATTCAAAATTTTACATTTACATTTCAGAGTTAATTTTTGATTGGATTCTTTTTGAAGTTGAATTGAAGAATGACTAGTTTATTACATTTTATGTTCATAATTGAGTTCATTTGATGGCACTGTTAAAGAAAGAGAACAATGACTGAGGAAAACTTTGGCCTTAAATCCTATTGCTTTAGGAATTTTGCATTGATCATTTCTCTTCACTTCCAAAGTCATAAATACCTAAGGTCACTAATACCATTGCCTCAATATTGTGTTTTCTTTTCATTATTGTCAGCACTGCCTTGGGTTCATCTTTGTGGGTTTCTTTTATTATTACTGTTCTTGTTGTTAGCACTTTTGAGAAAATAAAGAATATGGTGTTCATTGGGGCTTTATTTGAATATTTGAACTTGTATATAATGATATTATTTTTCTCTTTTGATATTACATTTTAATTATGCATCATTCTGAGCTCCAAAATGCGGATGGGGGAGGAGAAAGAGATGAAAAGAATGTTATTATTTTTAATTATTATGGGTCAAATTTTTATTTTATTTATTACTTTTATACATTTTAACTCTTCTTTTTTTTTTTAAATTTTTAAAGATTTTATTTATTTTTTTTTGAGAGAGAGAACTAGAGAGAGAGATAGCAAGCATGGGGGGGCAGAGGGAAAGGGAGAAGCAGGCTTTCTGCTGAGCAGGAAGCCCAATGCAGGGCCTGATCCCAGGATGATGGGATCATGACCCAAGCCCAAGGCAGACGCTTAACCAACTGAGCCACCTAGGCACTCTCCAGCCTATATTTCCTATATGTCCCATGTCTGTGTTAATATGATGGTGTAAGGACAGAAACCAGTCATATTTAAAAAAATAGTCATATAACTCAGACAAGAAGACTTTGGTGCTATTTAGTGCAAAGTATAATTGAAATGATAGATTATAGAATATTTGGGGAAAAATACTCCTTTCTCTGGAATAAAGACTTGGGGTTGTAAGGATTAACAAATTAAAGAAAGAAAGGAGTACAACTTAAAGAAAGAGAACAACAGGTTCTGATTAAATTCAGGGTTTTATTATTACAAAAATCCAGAATTTAAGTGTATGTCTTTCTCCAGGGGAGTAAATAGAGCTCTCCTCAAAGTTAAATTTATTGACATTTACTCACTTAATCAACAAATGTATATTTAATGACAGTTTGTATAAGACACTGTTCTACATAATATAGAAAAGAATGATTCATGGCCTCCTATTCTCAAGAGATTTAAAGTCTGTAAACATAGTCAAAAACAATCTTATATGAGGTAAAATTAAATATAGGGTTTTTATTATTTTTTATTAACATAAAATGTATTATTTGTTTCAGGGGTACAGGTCTGTGATTCATCAGTCTTACACAGCATTCATCATAGTATATTCCCTCCCCAATGTCCATCACCCAGCCACCCCATCCCTCCCACCCCCTACCCTCCAGGAACCCTCAGCTTGTTTCCTGAGATTAAGAGTCTTATGGTTTGTCTCCATCTCTGGTTTCCTCTTGTTTCATTTTTCCCTCCCTTCCCCTATGGTCCTCTGTCTTCTTTCTCAAATTACTCATATCAGTGAGATCATATGATACTTACCTTTCTCTGATTGACTTATTTTGCTTAGCATAATACCCTCTAGATCCATCCACATCATTGCAAATGGCAAGATTTCATTTTTGATGGCTGCATAATATTCCATTGTATATATACACCACATCTTCTTTATCCATTCATCTGTTGATGGACATCTAGGCTCTTTCCATAGTTTTGCTATTGTGGACATTGCTGCTATAAACATTGGGGTGCAGATGCCCCTTTGGATCACTACATTTGTATCTTTGTGGTAGATACCCAGTAGTGCAATGCTGGGTCATAGGGTAGCTCTATTTTCAACTTTTTGAGGAAACTCCGTACTGTTTTTCAGAGTACCTGCACCAGCTGGCCTTCCCACCAACAGTGTAGGAGGGTTCCCCTTTCTCTGCATCCTTGCCAACATTGTCGTTTCCTGACTTGTTAATTTTAGCCATTCTGACTGGTGTGAGGTGGTATCTCACTGTGGTTTTGATTTAGACTTCCCTGATGCCAAGGGATGTTGAGCACTTTTTCATGTGTCTGTTAGCCATTTGGATGTCTTCTTTGCAGAAATTTCTGTTCATGTCTTCTGCCCATCTCTTGACTGGATTCTTTGTTCTTTGGGTGTTGAGTTTGATAAGTTTTTTATAGATCTTGGATACTAGCCCTGTATCTGATATGTCATTTGCAAATATCTTCTCACATTCTCTCAGTTGTCTTTTGGTTTTGTTGACTGTTTCCTTTGCTGTGCAAAAGCTTTTTAGTTGATGAAGTCCCAATAGTTCATTTTTGCCCTTGCTGCCCTTGCCTTTGGCAATGTGTCTAGGAAGAAGTTGCTGCGGCTGAGGTCAAAGAGGTTGCTTTCTGTGTTCTCATCAAGGATTTTGATGAATTCGTCTCACATTGAGGTCTTTCATCCATTTTGAGTCTATTTTTGTGTGTGGTGTAAGGAAATGGTCCAATTTCTTTCTTCTTCATGTGGCTGTCCAATTTTCCCAACACCATTTGTTGAAGAGACTGTCTTTTTTCTATTGGATATTCTTTCCTGCCTTGTCGAAGATTAGTTGACCATAGAGTTGAAGGTGCATTTCTGGGCTCTCTATTCTGTTCCATTGATCAATGTGTCTGTTTTTGTGCCAGTACCATAATGTCTTGATGATTACAGCCTTGTAATAGAGCTTGAAGTCCAGAATTATGATGCCACCAGCTTTGCTTTTCTTTTTCAACATTCCTCTGGCTATGCGGGGTCTTTTCTGGTTCCATACAAATTTTAGGATTATTTGTTCCATTTCTTTAAAAAAAAGCTGATCGTATTTTGATAGGGATTGCATTAAATGTGTAGATTGCTCTAGGTAACATTTTCACAATGCTTGTTCTTCCAATACATGAGCATGGAACATTTTTCCATTTCTTTGTGTCTTCCTCAATTTCTTTCATGAGTATTCTATAGTTTTCTGTGTACAGATTCTTTGCCTCTTTTGTTAGATTTATTCCTAGGTATCTTATTTACCAATTGTACATGGGATCGACTCCTTAATTTCTCTTTCTTCTGTCTTCTTGTTGGTGTATAGAAATGCAAATGATTTCTGTGCATTGATTTTATATCCTGCCACTTTACTGAATTCCTGTATGAGTTTTAACAGTTTTGGGGTATTGTCTTTTGGGTTTTCCACATAAAGTATCACATCATCTGCAAAAAGTGAGAGTTTCACTTCTTTGCTGATTAGGATGACTTTTATTTCTTACTTTTTTTATTTTATTAAAAATAAATACATCATTAGTTTTTGATGTAGTGATCCACGATTCATTCTTTTTGTTGTCTGATTGCTGTGGGTAGGACTTCTAATACAATGTTGAATAGCAGTGGTGATAGTGGACATCCCTGCCATGTTCCTGACCGTAGGGGGAAAGCTCTCAGTTTTTCCCCATTGAGAATGATATCCACTGTGGGTTTTTCATAGATGGCTTTTATGATATTGAGGTATGTACCCTCTATCCCTATACTCTGAAGAGTTTTGATCAAGAAAGGATGCTGTACTTTGTCAAATGCTTTTTCTGCATCTATTGAGAGGATCATATGGTTCTTGTTCTTTCTTTTATTAATGTATTGTATCACAATGATTGATTTGCGGATGTTGAACCAACGTTGCAGCCCAGGGATAAATCCCACTTGGTCGTGGTGAATAATCCTTTTAATGTACTGTTGGATCCTATTGGTTAGTATTTTGGTGAGAATTTTTGCATCCATGTTCACCAAGGATATTGGTTGGTAATTCTCCTTTTTGATTGGGTCTTTGTCTGGTTTGGGGATCAAGGTAATGGTGGCCTCATAAAACGAGTTTGGAACTTTTCCTTCCATTTCTATTATTTGGAGCAGTTTCAGAAGAATAGGTATTAATTCTTCTTGAAATGTTTGGTAGAATTCCCCTGGGAAGCCATCTGGCCCTGGGCTCTTGTTTGTTGGGAGATTTTTGATGACTGCTTCAATTTCCTTAGTGGTTATAGGTCTGTTCAGGTTTTCTATTTCTTCCTGATTCAGTTTTGGTAGTTTCTACATCTTTAGGAATACATCCATTTCTTCCAGATTATCTAATTTGCTGGCATATAGTTGCTCATAATATGTTCTTATAATTGTATTTCTTTGGTGTTGGTTGTGATCTCTCTTCTTTCATTCATGATTTTATTTATTTGGGTCATTTCTCTTTTCTTTTTGATAAGTCTGGCCAGGGGTTTATCAATCATTCATTCTTTCAAAGAATCAGTTCCTAGTTTCATTGATCTGTTCTACTGTTCTTTTGGTTTCTATTTCATTGATTTCTTCTCTGATCTTTATTATTTCTCTTCTCCTGCTGGGTTTAGGCTTTATTTGCTCTTCTTTCTCCAGCTCCATTAGGTGTAGGGTTAGGTTGTGTATTTGAGACCTCTCTTGTTTCTTGAGAAAGGCTTCTATTGCTATATACTTTCCTCTTAGGACCGCCTTTGCTGCATCCCAAAGATTTTGAACAGTTGTGTTGTCATTTTCATTTGTTTCCATGAATTTTTTAAATTCTTTAATTTCCTGGTTGACCCTTCCCTCTTTAGCCTCCATATAGTTGAGTTCTCTCCAACCTTCCTCTTGTGATTGAGTTCTAGTTTCAAAGCATTGTGATCCAAAAATATGCAGGGAATGATCCCAATCTTTTGGTACCAGTTGAGACCTGATTTGGACTCAGAATGTTATCTATTTGGAAAATGTTCCATGTGCACTAGATGAGAATATGTATTCTGTTGCTTTGGGATGGAATGTTCTGAATATATCTGTGAAGTCCAACTGGTCCAGTGTGTCTTTTAAAGCCTTTATTTCCTTGTCGATCTTTTGCTTATATGATCTGTCAATTTCAGTGAGGAGGGTGTTAAAGTCCAGTACTATTATTGTATTATTGTTGATGTGTTTCTTTAATTTTGTTATTGATTGGCTTATTTAATTGGGTGCTCCCATGTTAGGGGCATAGATATTTAAAATTGTTAGATTTTCTTGTTGGATAGACCCTATAAGTATGATATAGTGTCCTTCCTCATCTCTTGTTAGTCTTTGGTTTAAAATCTAATTTGTCTGATACAAGGATTACCTTACCACCCCAGCTTTTTTTTTTTTTTTTTTTTGATGTCCATTAGCATAGTATATGGTTCTCCACCCCTCACTTTATTTTTTTTTAAAGATTTTATTTATTTATTTGACAGAGAGAGACACAGCGAGAGAGGGAACACAAGCTGGGCGAGTGGGAGAGGGAGAAGCAGGCTTCCTGCTGAGCAGGGAGCCCAATGCAGGGCTTGATCTCAGGACTCTGGGATCATGACCTGAGCTGAAGGCAGATGCTTAACAACTGAGCCACTCAGGCACCCCTCCACCTCTCACTTTAAATCTGGGGGTGTCTTTGGGTCTAAAATGAGTCTCTTGCTGACAGTATATTGCTGGGTCTCATTTTTTTTTTTTTTTTTGATCCAATGATACCCTGTGTTTTGATTGGGGCATTTAGCCCTTTTACATTCAGGGTAACTATTGAAAGCTATGAATTTAGTGTCATTGTATTGCCTGTAAAGTGACTGTTACTGTATATTGTCTCTAATCCTTTCTGGTCTAATGTTCAATCTAATGTTTCTACCATTGTATGTTATGGACCTCTTGTCCTGAGCTGCTTTCAGGATTTTCCCTTTGTCTCTGAGACTTGTAAGTTGTACTATTAGATGTTGGGGTGTTGACCCATTTTTATTGATTTTGAGGGGGGTTCTTTGTGCCTCCTGGATTTTGATGCCTGTTTCTTTCCCCAAATGAGGGAAGTTCTCTGCTATAATTTGCTCCAATATACTTTCTGCCCCTCTCTTTCTTCTTCTGGGATCCCAATTATTCTAATGTTATTTCACTTTATGGTATCACTTATCTCTTGAATTCTTGCCTTGTGATCCAGTAGTTGTTTATCTCTCTTTTTCTCAGTTTCTTTATTCTCCATCATTTGGCCTTCTATATTACTAGCTCTCTCTTCTGCTTCATTTATCCTAGCTGTTAGAGCCTCCATTTTTTATTACACCTCATTAATAACCTTTTTGATTTTGACTTGGTTAGATTTTAGTTCTTTTATTTCTCCAGAAAGGGATTCTCTAGTATGTTCTAAGCTTTTTTTCAAGCCTAGCCAGTATGTTTATAATCGTCATTCTGAACTCTAGTCCCAACATCTTACTAATGTCTGTATTGAATAGGTCCCTAGTAGTCTGTTGGTACTACATCTTGTTCTTTTTTTGAGGTGAGTTTTTCCATCTTGTCATTTTGTCCAGAGGAGAATAGGTGAATGAGAGAACATGCTAGAAGGGTAATAACAACTCCAGAAAAATATACACTAAACAAATCAGAAGAGACCCAAAACCAGGGATAAAATAAAGGGGGAAAAAAAAGACTATGATCAGGCTGGTGAACAGAACAGAACCACACACTAGGTTTTGGGTGTATTTTGGTCTGTTGGAAGAAGTGCCTCTGAAAATTTTAAAGAAAGGAAAACTTATATGTATATACAAAAATAAGGGTAAGTATGATGAAGGGATGGAATATGACTGTAAAGATGAAAATTTAAAAAAAGATTTTTAAAAAGGAATTGTTAAGAAGTTGGTGGAAAAAGAATGAAAAAAAAATTTAAAAAAGGGTAATGTGATCAGACAGGAGACTAGGACAACATCACACACTAGATTTAGGGTATATTTTGGTTCATTAGAAGAAACTGTATCCCAAAATTTTAAAGAAAGTAAAACATATATATACAAAAAATAAGTTTAAATACAATGAAGGGATAGGGTATGACTGTCAAAATGAAAATTAAAAAAGGAATTGATCAGATGTTGGTTGAAAAGGGAAGAACTATTCAACTAAAAAAATGGAAAAACAAAAATATAAAGAAA